GGTTGGGTGTGGCACCGAACAGAAAAGGGTTGGGTAAACAAAATTTTGAGTGAGTAAAAGGTTGGGTGAATGAAAAACAAAACAACTCAAGGGTTGGGTAGTAAAAATTTCTTGTCATTTCCAAAGCGTGACTCATTCAAATATGGAAGACTAAAAAGCAATCTCAACAGTCATATGTCAATACAATATGTAAATCAATCAATCAATCAATCAATCAATCAATCAATCAGAGTCACTATCTTGATCATTTTCCGATTTGTCAGGAGGCAAATGGTGTCTCCAAAGAAAGTACATGTGCAGACAACATGAAACTTCACAAGTGATGTTCACGCAATTTTTTCCGTTCTATTTTTCAGGAGGTTGAAACTTTAAAAAGTGAAAACCAAGCTCTGCTTCGTGTTGTGAACCAAGTCTCGAGTTTAAAGATAAAATAATTTCTGTAAAGTATTTTTTATATATTTGATACGATGCGTAAGGTGTGGTCAGTTCTGGATAGCTGGCTCTAATAACAGATTGCATATTTTTATATGATTTTGTATTGTGACCAAACTTTTCCCAGAAAAGGTGGATGTCTAAATGGTGCTGTTTTTAAAGTGCACCTAACCGTAGTTCTTTTAAAGACGCTGTAAAGTCCGTAATGTAAACAAACGCTTTGTTTACATTTTGAACTCAGTGCTACAGTTGTAAAATATGAATAGATATATATTATACTGAATTTTTAACACTCTTCCGGTTCGCTATGCTTGTAAATGAATACAGACTAGAGATTCAATTCAAGAAAGTTGGGAAGGTGCGAAATATTAATAACATTCCAACGGTCGGGTCCCGACCATCCGAATGTGGGCCTGCGCAGAACGGACTTTACAGCATCTTTAACATCTCATTCCTATAAGAACCTTTGAAATGATATTAATGATAAACTTATTTTGAAGATTTTCGTTTGCACACTTTGTCTCTGAGTTATTTCAGTTTTATTGATATGCAAATGTCCGGAATTTACGTCACATATGAATAATGACTGATCAGAGAATGTAAGGTACAGTTAAATATCATGAAATAAAAAGGCTAAACGGTGTTTTACATAGGTATATGTAATCCTCCCACAACTCCAAACTTCATTTTAACGAATTAAACTCGATACTGAATACGATATACAAGCTTTGGCTTTAAATCATTATGCATTTGTGCCGTGAATTCCGGATATTTGCATACCAAACAAACTGAAATATCTCAGAAACAAAATGAGCAAACGAAAATCTTCAAAATAAGTTATTATATCATTTCAGAAGTTATTAAGAATGAGATGTTAAAAAGACTTGAGGTTGGGCGAACTTTAATTTAAGCAATGTGGAAAATTTGATTAATTCTGGATTTTATATCGTGTTTGAGCTAGCTATAGGGTTTTGTTGTTTGATCATTGATTGAAGTGCGGTTAGTTTGTTTTTGTCCCATAATGACAATCACATTTTGCGTGGCCTTGCTTGTGACTTCACATGCATATCCACCATAGATATAGGAGATCTAGATTGCTAACGCATACCTAGCGCAGGCGGGGCCTACATGATAAATCCAAGATGGCGGTACAACAGGGCAAAAAGACTATAGATTCTATTACGAAAATCAGGATTTTTGCATTCTTTGCCGTCGCATTGTTTTGAAACTTATTCGGTCAAATTTTATGGTAAAGAGAAACTTACTGCGAAGATTTTGAGCATATATATGATTGAATTGGATGAAAAATCGCAAAATTATCCAGCGATAAAAGTTCGTGTGAAATGGTCAGTTGGTCAGTTGGAGCGTTTTATTGCCAGAAATACTGTGCTATGTTAACATCTAGCCTTGTGAATGGTGTTTTATACTTGCATCTCTCATCATCATCTGCTCTGTCCTCATAATTATGAAAAATGAACTGTTATGTACCCCCCCCCCCTTGCTTGTTAGAGAAGTAAACTGATGAGAGCACTGGATGAGGGTCTATCATCTATGGTCTGTTATAATTTGCTTTTTATGCAAATAGTGAGCAAAAATTAAAGCAAAACTGTACAAGTTACATACATAGTACTATATCAGTACTATACACGAACTTTTATCGATGGATAATTTTGCGAGTTTTTATCCAATTCAATCATATATATGCTCAAAATCTTCGCAGTAAGTTTCTCTTTACCATAACATTTGACCGAATAAGTTTCAAAACAATGCGACGGCAAAGAATGCAAAAATCCTGATTTTCGTAATAGAATCTATAGTCTTTTTGCCCTGTTGTACCGCCATCTTGGATTTATCATGTAGGCCCCGCCTGCGCTAGGTATGCGTTAGCAATCTAGATCTCCTATATCTATGATATCCACAATATTCCAATATGGCGGACAGATGACTTCAGTCAAAATATTGGAAGAGGTTATTTCGCTGGCCTCGGAGTGACAAAACGTAACAAAGCAACGGTTTTACTAACACTAACTTTATTCCAAACACCAACCCTAACCTAACCCTACTCCAAGTTCGTTTCGAAAGCAATCTTGAAGAAAAACGTTTTGACGAAATGTCATTCTAAGGTCAGCGAAATAACTTCTTCCCAAAATATTTCGAGAACTAAAAAAAAAAGTAAAAGAGCTTTTTCAAACGAGACAAAGTAATTTTTTATTGTCGCATCTCTTTAACGAATAGTCTTACTGTCGTTCCAATTGAAGTGTTCCTCAAATATTGATTCAATACATTACCTCAGGCTGACCAATTCATTTGATCAAGTTCCTCGAGATATTCATACACTTCCTGTGAAAGAGCCAATTCCAAGTATTTGATCATTTCTGGTCACTTCCTTTCTATTTATGATTGGTTAGTTGCACAAACAACAAAGGTGATTGGTGCATTCAAACTATTCAACAGGAAGTTTACAATTATACTAGGAAGTGTATGAATATCTCGAGGAACTTGATGAAATGAATTGGTCAGCCCGAGGTAATGTTTTGAATCAATATTTGAGCAACACTTCAATTGGAACGACAGTAAGGTGAATACGGTGTTATGTTATTGACTTCAATGACTGCTTTGTAGCCTTCCCTGTATGAACATGTTTTGCAATTGCCAATCAGATTTATAACTCGTTTTTTAGAGAGTTTGTTTCTATAGTTTGTATATCATATTTCGCCAATCGCAAAGCGTGTTCGTGTAGGTTTGGGCCCATACTATAACTGACGATTGCAGTGTGTAGCTAAAATGTTCAACAAGCTTGTTTATAATATAATATAAAAAAGTATTTTTCTAAAACATTGTTTGCTCTATGTGTTTTAATGTGTTGGGGAACCACACCCGATGTAGGTCCAGTTTAATATACACCTCAGTTGGCAACTGAGCTGGAATTGGCAACTGAGCTGGAATTGGCAACTGAGCTGGAATAATTAGCTGGATAGCTTTCGTAAACGCTTTCAATCCAGTATTAGTATGGATATTGACCTAAAACTCTCTCCGTCCAGTATTTGTACATAGCTCAAATTGTGACTGATCTTTGGAGGATAACTGGATAACTCAACTTTAAAACAGTCATTCCAGTAGCATCTATTAAGATCAGTTGGCCACTGATCTGAAATAGATTGACTGGATACATTATTCATTTCATCCATATAAGATGAAGTACCTAACTTGTGGCGCCAAAAAACGCCATGTTTGAATTTGTTCTTTAAAATTTTAAAGTTTTAAACTTTTTTTCATCAAATTCTTGGTTGAAGACGTTTCATTTTCAACTGTCTAGTAAGTATTTTGTTTTCTTCATATTCTGTTTTCTGGTTCGCAATTGTAAATGAATATAAACTAGAGTACGTTTCAATTCAAAAAAGTTTGAAAGATGCAAAATTTGGGCAATGTTTATATCTGTACGTGGGTCCCCCTTTGCTATGAGCAGAACTGATGCGCAGAACGGACTTGACATTGTCTTTTATCATATTCGGGCTATTAATATTCGATTCGATATATTGGCGGCTAGTTTAGAAGTGCAGGTAGTATTCTACAATATTAAGCTGTCGTGGTTTGTGTCTGAACTTACCTGAAAAAGATATCTCAACGTGGCAGGGCCTTTTTTAACATACAAGCTGGAATTTGCCCCTGTCAATGCCCACGAAATCACATTTTGCCCTCCCCCCCAGGAAAAGTCCCTTTTTCCTAAATTTATACCAACAAAACAGCGAAGAATAGCAAATAAATAAACGGAAAGTAAGTTTTAGGCTTTATCCTTTGTCCTTGTTTAACAAAATCAATCTAAATTGTTACGTTTTTCTACCACTAAGTAATGATAAATTATTGTTAATAATTTTTTATTTTTTGGTTGCTAAGAGTGCAGGAAATAGCATTTCCAGGTTTCAAATTTGAAAAATTTTCTGGTGATTATGCCCCCACACACGTGGCCTTCGGCCACTGGTATCCCCCTCTAATAAGTATAATGATAAATTACGGTTAATATTCGTTTTTTACTTTTTGTGCATTTTTCCTTCTTTTATTTCAAATACAAGTATAGTTAGCATAAATTTTAGAGCAAATTTGGATGCTCAGAATGCAGGAAATGGCATTTCCGTGTTTCAAATTTCAAACATTTTCTGGGGGAGTACATCCCCACACACGTGGCCATTGGGATCCCCCTCTAATAAGTAATGATAAATTATGGTTAATATTTTTTTAAACTTTTTGTTTGTGGGTTTTTTCCTTCTTTTATTTCAAATACAAGTATAGTTAGTATACATTTTGGAGCGCATTTGGATGCTCAGAATGCAGGAAATGGCATTTCTGTGCTTCAAATTTCAAAAATTTTCTGGGGGAGTACACCCCCCTCATTCATGCGTGCATGGTATGTTCGGCGCACACGTGGCCTTCAGCCATTGCTATCTCCCTGTAATATATTATCTCACAGAAAGGTCCTTTTTCAAAAAATGCCCCCCACGGGAAAATCCTTAAAAAAGGCCCTGAAACGTGGTGGTCCAGTGTAGGCAGTATTCTACAATAAGCTGTCGTGGTCTCTGTGTGAACTACCTGAAAAAGATATCTCAAACTTTACTATACACGCTGACACCGTCGACCGAAGCTGATTTCCACGAGGGGCGTGTGCAAAAATGGAAAAAATTCCATAAAGACTGATACTAAAAGCTATTTACAAAAAATAAGGCAAAATACTGCACTATCATTTACATGATACGAACGTTATTAGAATATTTACAGGCACATCAATTTACTTATCACTCTATGTTTTGTCAATGCTACGTGAGCAGCGATTTTACTTCGAAAGGAAGAAAGTGTTTTTCTTCCCCTATAATTTCCTTTGGAATAGAATCCCAAAGATTTGCTCTGTCTTACATGAAACTATTTTTCATTTTGTTGGTACGCGGATTTGGTAAACTAAGACCAGACTAGTATTGCTAACTTGTTAATTGTCTTATTGGGCTAGTATTCCAAAGGTCGTATAGGTTGGATTCCCACCGTCGCCAGGCATATTATATGCCTGATGACTTACGGTTCGAGTAAGTGATATTTCGGAACAGAATCTAGTTCCTTCAATACCAATGTATTCTAAATAAAAATCATAAAAAAAATTCATATTACTAGATTACATTGGTATCGAAGGAACTAGATTCTGTTCCGAAATATCACTTACTCGAACCGTCCTGACCGCGTAGCTCAGTTGGAAGAGCATTGGGCTAGTATTCCAAAGGTCGTAGGTTCGAATCCCACCGTGGCCGGGCATATTTTTCAAGCTCGCCCGGTGTGGATATACACTCAGAGTAACATCACAAGCATCTTATTCACCTGAGTACACAACACCAGCACAGAAAAAAAAGAACTAAACTCAGTTCCGAAATATCACATACTCGAACCGACCTGACCACGAAGCTCAGCTGGCAGAGCATTGGGCTAGTATTCCAAAGGTCGTAGGTTCGATTCCTACCGTGGCCAGGCATATTTTTGAAAAATGCCCGGTGTGGATACACACTCAGAATAACATCACAAACACCATA